AGAGGTATGGTAAGCGGCAAAGTATACAATGAAACTGAAGCAATTGGGAGGGGTTTTTGGATGAGCTTTGGTTTTCTGCTTTTTTGTGTGTGTGCATGTAGTTGAATTTAGAATTAGGAGGAGTGCTTGATCCTTATATATTGAAATCCTCAGCGCGCGGAGTGACAGCATGAGCCAGAAGAGAAAGCCATGGCCCCATGTGGTGTGAAAAAAGGAACAGCAGTTTAAGTGCTGGAAAGTTGAAAGAGAACTAACCTCCTTGTTCTTGTAGTCAAGAAAAGTGGCTGTTTTGTGCTTTTGTACTGAAGCATAGCATATGTGCCTCAGTTTGACAAAAAGCCTCTCGAGTCAAAGCAAGCCTCGTCCTGTGCGCTGATCCAAAGCGAGGGCCGCGGTAATGAGGGCCGGGCTCTCGGGAAGCGGCGAGGAGATAATACTACATAAGTGGCGAATTCTGTGCACTGTCTTCGCCGTTCTACTTAATGCAAGTCGCAGCCACGGTGAATCGCTCGCCGTACAGCTGAAATGGGCCATTAGCTATCGGGGAAAATTGTCTTTGCTCCTTTCAGCAGATGGAGCAAATATTTTACAAAGCAATTTTACATACAAAAAACATTTGTGTTACTTGGTAATGATGGCTGTTTTACATGATGTTACCTTCTATCAGGACATACTTTTCCAGCTCATGGAAGGCAAAATTGGCACTTTTTAATTTTAAAATTTTCAGTTAACCATTAAATGCTTGGTCTTTGAATCAGTTTTCAAACTTTAAGTAGGTAGGCAGCCGGTGTATCACTTCCAAAAACGTTGCTGTTTTTTTAAACCTTTCAGATTGTTTTATTCAAGGGATGGATTGTGGTTCTAGTTAGCATGTACCTGTCTGAATTAAAAAAAAAAAAGTCAACTGTTTAATTTACAAAGTAGGAAATAATGAAAATTATGCAGGCTTTCCCGACAGTGCCATGTTAGCTGGTGCTGCTGGGGCAGAAGAGCAAGGAGGGCTGGACCAATTCACATCCAGGCAGCTGGTATAAGTTGTCATAGCTCCACTGATCACAGTATAAGGGACATACTGCGTAACTGGTATAAATTGCCATAGCTTCATTGACTGCAACAGCGATACAGCAGTTTGTATTGCTGGGGATCTGTCTGCTGATTTTGTTCTTCTCTGGCCCAGTCAGCTTTACTTATTTGAAGTTACTTTCTTCACTCTATTTGCTTGCAAGGTCTAAATAATTTCCTTTCCATCCGATTTTTTTTTTTTTTAGCTAAAAAGCCCTGGGTCTTACTCATGCATTCTGCTCTGCAGCCTCTTTCTGTCCCCAGGTCTTTCTTCGGATTTCTAAGTCTATTTCTTCTTTCTGTTTATATACTTATCTCTTCAACAGGCTTTTCTGTGCGCTCATCTTTCTCAAGTGCATCTCCCAGTTCCTTCAACCTACTCCATGTTCAGTCCTATTTTTTTGTTGCAGCTGCCTTTGGAAATTCAGCTTGCAGAAGGGTGGGAAATTATTTCATATTTAAGGAGGGAAAGGTATATATTTTTCATGTTTATTCATCATTGTTACAAAAAAGTGATAAACAGATTTGGATGGATTTACAGATTTCTGCATCATGGAAACAATAATATTTGGCCTGCTCCCTTTTTATTGGTGCTAAGAAAGATCAGCTGAAAGTTGTGAACAAATGTTCCCTGTTTACATTGAGCCTGTGATTCTGAATTGTTCTGGGCCACATCAAGAGACAAAACAGGGGTAAGCTCTGCTGGAGATACCGTCCAATTTGGATGAAATTAGCCTACAGAGCAGTCATCCTTTTAAAGGGTTTGATTTTATGAGTGAATGTTGGATCTGGGCTTGAATTCACTTACTAAAACTCCCCATAATCAAGATTATCGCCTCTTAGAGCTTACAGTGGCAAAAAAACTTCAACTAGAGTTCCAGGTGCTGATCCTTAAAAAGTAGTTGCCTGACTCCCTTCTGTGAATACCTTGATTATCTAGCTGTTACCTGTTAAAAGCACGTTTGATCTCACAAGGAAAATTTCCCATTTTCTTGAACTTGTTATTTTTCTTAAAGCCACTGTCATCTTTCTGCAAGGTAATAGTTTTTTTGTGCATGCTTCCTTCATAGCCAGCTAGCACTGAAGGCACTTTGAAGTGTGAGATGCTCCTGAGCTTGGGTACTTGCACCCACGTTTCCTTTAGAGATATTCTGAGTTTGTCCTGAATTCAAGTCCCCTTCACCTGCTGTTTGACGTTATTTGAGGAAGCAACACTGGGCTGTGTGAGGAAGTAGCACAACAGTCTTGCCTGTCTAATGCCCGTCATCTGGACAGAGAGCAGTGGCATATATGATGGCACCGCAAGTGCTGAGGAGCTGAACAGGCCCAGGCACTCTGTATCTGACCAGCAGCCTCACGGGCCAGGTGTGTGCGCCCTTCAGTCCACTTTAAGATCTGGAAGTCCTGCTTTGTTTTGCACCTAGACTACAGATCTTGCTTTCATAGCAGTGTGTGATGCTGGAAACAACTCTAGCTAAGAGGAGATACCACTGTCCCCAGCACTGCTCTGAGCTGGACCATGGGCCATGTTCCATTTGGGATGCTCTAGGATATCACAGCAGGTTACAACTGAAATTCATTGGTGTCAGCCCTCAAAATTGCTCTCTCATGATCGTGTGCTGCATGGTCCTGAACGGGTGCCCTGCTGGGGCGGTGACATAGTGGGGACGTGGTCCTGCTGCCCTGCACAAGCTGTGGACTGCACGGTAGGGCCATGCAGCCTGTGGAGCGTGGTTCTTGAAACACCGAGTTTGACAGCTTGCAGAAATATCAGTCATCTCAGTGCCTGGTGATTACAAGGAGAATAGGGTCCAATCACTTTCTTTATTTGCAGGGAAATAACATTTATTCCAAAGGGGGAAAAAAATATGGAATTGGCATGGCTGCCCTCATGTCCCTCAGAACTGTTGCAATGGAAAATAGTGGCCCAGTTCACATGCCTGTAACTTAATTTTTAATTATACGGGCTTGGTCACACAGCACTCTCAAATGCCTCCGCACATCCAGCTGGGATTATTGGTTTTTTCCCCCGTAATTTATCAAAAGCTTTCAGGCAGCCATTGCACACCTCAGCTTTTGTTTGTTTGTTTTTCTATTTCTGTTTAAATTGCACAATACCCAAAGTCATTAGATCTCGGGAACGAGGCTCCGTGTGACAGAGGTATTGCTGAATGCACTGAGAAGTGCAGACTGATTTTGTAGGTCAGCATCTCCATGCTATTCATCATGGCTCAGATCCTCTCTCCAAAGCTGCATTTATTTTCATTATACAGCTAACTACCTGGTCTTGTGACTTCTTGCCTTAACAACATTTCAAAGCAAATACAAACCCAGACAAGGCCAACTGATATTTGTTCACTCTTCTGTTGTTTTAGTCAGCTGAGCTATCCCAAATTCCTTGCTGCGGTCTCTGTTGAAAGGAGACTAACAGTGTAAGAGCTGAATCTGGATAAATTCTCAACTTGGATCTCACTTTTTATGTGGTCCTTTCTTTTTGCTCTAAGGATAAGTTTGCGCTGCTTAGTATTTTGATATACTGACTACAAATATTTAAAAAAAAATTTTAATAAGATGTTTAAAGTCAACAGCACACTCTTCTTAATCTATTTTAAGGGCCCACGTGACCCAGATCATCATCATGTCTAAACACTCCAATATTTTTAATGCCTTTTTGCCTCAATTCCATGTGAGGTAGGGAACTGCAATTGCCCCCTTTCACGGCTAGACAGCTCGAGGCCCAAACAAAGTCATTTTCCTAAAATCTTCCAGGAAGACAGCATCCGGGAAAAAGACACATCTGTATGCCAAGTTGATACCCTAATCATTGGTCAACCTGCTTTTCCTCATTTTGGTAGATAAATCACAGTAAGTTGATTTTGAATTCCTATTTTTGGTTATGTCACATCATGTGCTTCATGACAAAACCCATCTCTTCAAATTCACTGGTCTAGAAAAATTGAATTGTTTTTTTCTATTCATAGATGTTAGCCATAAGGTTTTATCATGTTCCTCCAGAGCTTAAGATAATATGATTATGGCTTTGGACATTGCCAAGATCATGGGATGGCTGGTCATCTTCTGAAGCACAGGATGCTGGAGAGAGAGGATGTAAACCAGAAGCAAAGAGACCCAGGGGAAGCAAGGGAATGCTTATGAAGCAGCAAGAAAAAGAGCCTGAAGCAATAGAGTCAGGGTCCTTGCACTTTATATGCTCGTGTACTTCTGGGACTGTTTTGAACAGTAAAAGCAATGCAGTTAGTTTCTGTATTTAATGGGGTGGTTTTGTGTGTGTGATAATATAGTAAAGAATTTAAAACTGGAGACAAGCTAATTTATATCCTATAATACAACAAATCAAATTCTACCAAAGAGGAGAGACAAATTCACTTAGGGATTTATTTTAAAGACCGGAGAGTATAATAGCGGTATCTCCTGCTTTATAAACCCCTTTGGTAGATTCTGCCTCAAAATTTGTTATAACTACAGGATGAATTTTGATTGGGTTTATATAACAGCCTAAACATAAAGAGTATCAGCAAAACTATTTCTGGCATATGTGACTACTTCAATAAGCTCAGCTTCAACATAAAAAACAAGTTATTGACTGCTGATATTGATCACTAAGCAGTTACCAAGTGCTTAGCATTTTCAGTTGCCAGATCAAATTATTGATATAAATTATAATAAAATAGATGCTATACTGAAAGATGAGAAATCATCTTTCAGATAAGGACAGTTTTCAATAGAAGGGAAGAGTAGTAAGTAGAAAAATTAAAAAAGGCTTCCTGACTGTGGGTAAACAGTAACCACATTCTTTTTTTTCTTTTTTCTTTTTTTTTTTTTTTTGTCTGTTGGAGGTCTGGTTTTTAATCACCCCACAAGCAGTTTTCATTTCTGTAGTAAAATTGCTTGTGGTTCTATTTAATTTGTTTCTGCAGGAGCCAGCTTTGGTGAAGATCTCCCAGGAGCTGCCGGGCCTTTTAGCACAGCACGTACAGCCAGTCAATGAGAAACGATTCCCTACATGGGAAAAATTCCTCCAAACATTTCTTAGTCAAGGTAAATAAGACTGCAAAGTCGCTGTTAAGTGTTAAAAGGAGTAATTATACCATATTGTATACCATATTCTTGTTAATCTTGAGCCCGTTTGAATATTTATCTCCTTTTATTTCTCCCCTTATGCTTCAAATGTTCATTTAAGAACGAATTATAGGTCACTATTCTATCACTCATATGTCTTACCCAAGCATTTAACCTATATTAATTCTGGATTACCTTTCTCACAAGATTCTGAATCAATAAGCACTAACTCCTTAGTCCTGGGTTACTGTACTGGAGATTATGTCACATTTGATGAAGGACTTCATTATAGAAGGTTAGCATGTGAGCTTCCACATACTTAAATGCAAGAAGTTTCCATCTTTATTACGCATGGGTGAGAACACATCTGCAAGACCTAGTTTTGCCTCCTATCCACACTCTGGATGCTATACACATGCACTGTATAAAGTCAGCTATGCTTGTAACCTTTAAGCAAACTAGCTTGGGTAAAAGCTGAGCATTCTCCTCAGATTTTTGCCTTCCAAATGGATGGTGCAGCCAGCGTGGACTGGTAACACCATACCTTATTGCACTGTTCAGAATATAGGCACAGACGTGCAGTTAGACCTTTGCTGGGCTCTTTCTTGCCCTGCAAGCTAAAGGAGTATGAGCAAGTTGCAATCTGCAAGTTTGGTTGTTTTGTTAGCACGGTGCTGAGTCCTCAGCGGGGCTTCCTGCATTAACTCAGTCAGGGCACCTTTGGATCGGAGCTGGCCAGCATTCAGCTGGCTACAGCTGAGAAGCGAGTCCGTGTTTGGCCATAAAAGGCAGAGCAGATAAGCGTTGTCTAATCTCCACAAATCAGTATATCTGTGAGTGGGCTTTGCATAGATATGTTAAAATCCCATATATGGATGCCAATTAGACTGAAAAGATGCAGTGCTTGTGCTTGGCTAGTAAATTCTGTGGTAATCTGCCCTGCAGTTATATCCTTTCGTAGTGTGTATAATAGAGATATTCATTTCATAGATTTCTTTATCTGTCGAACAGATAACAGCAATTCAAAAAACTGAAAGTATTTTTGGAAAAATAATGCCAGTGAACATGTATGGTACCAATTTTAATTATATACTAGTTTATCCTAACTAAATGCATTATGACATAATATGCAGTGAACAGACAATCCCAGAATGCCAAAGTCTTTTTTTGTGATTTCCTGTGGACAACTATGCTGAGTTGTCAGCCTTTCTGACCTTCCCATCTACATACCACGTTCCTCAGGTGGATGAATACCACTAGACAGACCTACTTATCTCAGACCATTGTATGGATGGCAATCTCCAAGAGTAGTTGACAGCCGGAGATAACATCCCCCAGAGGTCCCCACGTTGCCAATGCAATACCGTTCTGGGCTTGGTATTTAGCAAGGCTGTAGGACAGCCCAGGATTCATATTACCCAAGACATATTCGTTCTGTCAAATATGCAATACAGCTCCAGTTTGAAACTGGTTTCAAAGCACTTGCAGCTCAAAAGCCACAGGTTGAATTGTCCAGCGATATAGTGGCGGCGATATCATCTTTCTCTTCTAAGAGATTCATGGGTTCTAGCTATGCTGCTCACGTTACATTTATTTACTTGCTGCATCTCCATAGCAGTCCTCCCTGCAATGTCTGAGCACAACAGGAGCTGAGGGGTTTCGTTCTGTGCACTCTGAAGAGCTTTGCATGTGAATTTTATTGCTAGCTTAACAGCTAATACATTTCTTACTAGGTGGTGTGATAGAAGCCTTCCCACTCTCTGAAAACGTCACAAACCTTACAGTGGATATGCTGATAGAACCAACAGGCAAGATAAAAATAGTGTCATCTGGAGACCAGCTCCATGCTGATGGTCCTTTGCGATCATCTGGCACTACCATTCCACAGTGTTCTGTTGATCCAGCAGTTCTTAATTCTCTGTGCTTAAAAATTGGAGAGACCTGTAAATCTAAAGGAGTGCTTGGTTATTTTTCGGTTGACTTTGTGACTTTCATCCATCCACAAACAATGGAGCAGCAGGTGAGTGGCGCAGATATGTTACTTCATATTGTCCCTCTAAGATCAAGAAGTGTTTATGTTCCTATTTGACACCAACAGATAATGGAGCAAAAACACTGCCCTCTGAACAAACTTTGTTTCTAAGGAGTGAGGCATGTGGAGAGAGGTAAAGCATATGATTGTTTTAACAACATCATAAAACTTAAACTTGATCTAGCTAGTTAAACCTGAGGAATCGTTTTGGTCAACCTGAAGAGTAACAACTCAGCAATGCCTGTAGGGTTTCTTTCGAAGCTGAGAGGTGAGAAAATTATATTTGAATTTTTTGACTTTTCTGCCTAAAAGAAGTGCATTCTGCAATAAAGTGATATTTACAGAGGATAGTCTCATGGCTAAGACCACACAGAGGATTTTAGTTTCAAAAGGTTGACAGTTTTGAATCTTTTGTATTTTTCTCTGCAAGAAATAAAGGTAGGGATTATTGTACTCTTTTTAGTAGACCAGCATCTCAGTGAGAATGCAGGGGATGAATCCAGGGAAGAAGGGATATTGATAGTTTCTTACAGCAAGTGGGAAGGTAGGGCTGGACAATTCAGTTTACATCACGGTGGCTAATTTAGATATGAATAAGTAATTGAAGCAATCTGTTGTTATATCTCAGAAAGTTACAGTCCCTGAGCCACAAGGTATTGTCTCTCAGCTGACGGAGAGTAGCTGACTGTGTGGGATACCACCCTGCTGTAAATGAGAAGGAAACTATGTTCATTCAACCCGCTTTTGTTCTCCATTTGGGTTTTAGAACGGCTGAGAGAAGATCGTACTGTAAGAACGATAGACGTGATCTTAAACCAGATACAGAATTATTCCACATCAGCAAAACACAAGCTGAGATCAGTGTATGTCATGTGACAGTGCATATGACTGAAGGTATCATCACAGGGATAGAAACAAACTTGATTTGCTTCCCGGAGGTAGTGGACTGGAAGCAGTGAACGCATTGTGTTTATAGCTGCTCAGCTGAGGGTCAGTAACGTCTTAAAATGTGCTCATGCAATAGCTTAAACTGTCTCTAGTATAAATGTTCCTGTGGGATTCCCTCTGTAGATCCTTGTTCTAATGAGTCTTCCACCTGGGTTGCGCAGGCTCCCAAGTGTGTTTAGCAGCACCCATTTGATCTATCAGAGCTCTGCAGCTTTCTGCATGCGCGGTCTCGGGAGCAGAACATTAGTGCAGAGCAGTGTGAGACTGCTGCTGTTTCCGTTCCAGCTCTCCTCCTACAGCCCGAGGCCACACACTGCTTTCTGCTGCAGTGTAAATGTGTATACAATTAATAGCTTGTTTGCTTTTAGCAGAAGATCAGCAGATTCAGGTACTGTGACCTATTATGAAAGTCCGCTTTGTGGTAGTGTCTTACAGTTTATCATACTTTCTCCAGTCCTGAAATCTTTATGCTGCGGACACATTAACTGTATGCACATGTTGCACAAATATGGGAAGAGAGATGCGTGGCCTTTTTGGGAGTCTAGACTGAACAATGCAGCATTTTAATTTATGATACTCCAAAGCTGACACCTTGAATTACCTAGAAAGGCACACGTCACTAGCAAGCTCATGTAGTTTCTGGGGTGCAGGAGCACCGTGTAACCTCCAACTGGCATAACTAAGCAGAACAGAAGGAACCAAATAAACACTTCCCTAGGGAATCCTGCCCAGGAGAGCCTTTTGTGTAGATGAGTAATGGAGCCTTTTTAAAAGGTAAAATTAGAAGCACTCAGGTGACCCTGATCCTCCCTGCCGGAGTTTACAAGTCTAGCAGCAAAACCTCATAGTCAGCTGTATCAAGACTTTTGACAACGTAAAAAGTGATGTGATAAATGAAGACAGCAGAAGGGTATCAACTCCAGAATCTGCTGCTGCCTACGAGAGATGGCAGGGAAGCAGAGGAGCTGTGGCCGCTGTCCCTTATAATGCATAACTGAATTTTCAGACCTTGTAAGGTGATGGAGGGTACTGCCCTAACGCGCGCTTCTTTCAGTGCTAAGGAACAAATAGGTAAGAGAATGGGGTCAAAAGAAGCAATGTAATCACAGCTGTAGTTGCAGGTGAGTTACCCTCATTCCCTCATTAAAGTCCACTTTTGAGGTGAAGTTGTATTAACAGGCAGTAGAGGAAGGTGGCTGTGTCCGTGCTGAAAAGAAATCCTAGCATTCATTTCATTCCATTCATTATTACCTCGCGCAGGAGTCACAATAGATGTGTCTCATTCCATTAGTAATCTGCAACATGCTTTCCAACTAAATCTTGCTCCATGTTTTTGTCCTTTACTTCCTGGCATTAATGTTGATGATCAGTCTTGGTCACAGCTTATAACAAAATATTAATCTTAAATTTTTCTATTCTTGAGTAATCTGGCGTTTGTTTTATTCATAACATCAGATGTCTTTGTTACAACGTGATCGGCTGAATTCTTCCACCAGTCAGACGCTGTGAAAACCAAATGCAGAGTATCATTGAAAACTATATTCTGCTTAAAAATGAAAACATTTCTGTGAACTGTAAAATCATTTAAGCCAGGTTTTCTGTAGATTTGTCTTGAAGTTAAATTCCTGCGCGTATTTTCCAGCTGAACTCATCCTGCAGCCTCTCCTTTGGTAGCGTCACTGGTGAGTCCCTTTCCTCTATCCAGCTGCCTATTTTGGAAATCTCGTATGAGTTTAATATATTTGACCTTTTTACCTTCTCGCCAAATTTGGTTGATATTGGCCAGTAGGGTTGAATATTATGACAGGTATACAAACCTAAAGCCTAATGCCAAACTGGGGAAAAAAAATCTCATCTGGATGAAAACACATTGAGCTTTCAGTGTTCTGGCATAGCCTTGTGATTGAAGACTAAAAAAAGTGAAATAGTTTGTGAAGGAAGTAAAATCCTTATTGTTAGTGATGGATGATGTTTTTGAGCTTCCTGGGTACAGCTACACATATTCACAATTAGCATTTGCATGCAGATGCTAATTCAAAATCTCAGCACCAAGTTTCAATTATTTCTTGACTTTCCAATATTTCTCCTCGTCTTCTAGCTCTTTGGACATTGATTGTGCAATTGCCTAGTTACCTGAGCAAGTCTGTTGTCTTCTACAATCTTCAGTTAGGAGCCTCAGGGTTTAAAAAGTCCAGCTGTAAATGGGAACATATCTCTGTTTACTCAGATAAGCTATGCCGTATGGCTGCTGTTTTCCAAAGATGGTATGGCCGTATGCACGCAAATCCGTTTGTGCGTCTATTTCTCATAGGCATCTTTGAAAATCATAGCTTGTATGGTGTGAGAAAAGGCTTTAAATACAGGGCTTGTGTTTAAAACCCAAGAGTTAGCGTATGGGATCTATTGGCAAAGGCAGGCTCTTTGGAAGTGCTATGATAATTACATTCCATATGAAGCACAAAGGCGGCTTAAAACCAAGCTTTTGGTAACTGATACCACTGTGGCGTGACTGTGGTAAACCAGAGAATCAGAATCCATTAACATTGAAGTGTAGATCACAGTTACATTTGACTCCCCAAATGTATTTACACAGCAGTTGTCATTAGAACTGTGGATAAGCCATATTGGATAACTTCCATGTGAAGTTGCTTTAAAAAGATTAAGGGATGACATTCTCACCCACTGAAGTCAATGGGAGTTTTGCCAATTGCTTCAGTGGAGCCAGGAGTTCACCCAAATACAGAAACGCTTCCTAGGTTATTAAGGTTGTGACATTTCCTGGCTTAAACAAGGATATATTAAATCAGTCAGTGTTTCATGTGGTCTCTTATTACTGCTGTCTGTTCTCTCTTGGTTTTCTTCCCTTGTTTATAGTTGATTCTGCCTTAATATTTCCTGCGTTTGTCAGCATATACCACAACTTTAACAGTATTTAAACACTGTTTTTTTTAATTTATTATAATAATGTTATATTATAATATGCATGTGGCTTTTTACTCAGAAAACCTTTAAAAATCTGTCATGCTTGTACACATCAAATTAAATTTGATATTGATAATGATGTATTGCATATATATTTAAGATTGTTACAGTTGGCAAGTATTTTCCTTCAACACCCATGGTCTGTTGTATCGTGTTCCTCTGGAGCGTAATAGCAAAGAAACTGTGTGATGGATAAATAACAGTGCGTATCTATCAAACGGATGATTCAATGGGAAAGCCAGAATGAACGTAGACAAGAGAAAGCAAGCTCTGGGCTTTCCTGAGGTCCTTTATGGGAGCCCCTGAGCCTGCAGCACCAGTGAGTGCTTCAGTGGTGGTTCGTTCACCACCAGAGTGGTGAATGAAGGGAGTTGGGACCGTTTTCCCCGTTTCTCCCCCGCTTGCACTGGAAGTGCCATCACAGGCACAGCGGCATCTTCGCTCCCTTCCAGTCCTTGGGCTCTGTGCTGAGCAAAAGGGAGCAACAAAGGGATGTTGTCCGCAGGCCCTAACGAGCCGGATGATACTTTTCAGATAAGAGGTACACTGGCTCCTGTTGCCCCTGGGCAGTTTCATGTCTCGTGGAAATACTTGCTTCTGTTTGGTGCCCAAGTCTCTGACGGCTCCCTTTCACTTCTCCTTACGGGTGAGCTTTTTGGTCTGTCACGTGTGTGCAGGCTCTGCCTGGCCGGTTTGCTATTGCTTCTCACCTCAGCAAGCGGTTCATTTGCTCACTGCTGCCAGCTGGTTGCGTCTTCTCAGCCCCAGCAGAGAGATCTCCAGGACCTCCATGGAGCCACCTCTCCCCTGCTTTCAGGGATCCTGCCCTGTCTTAGACGTTGCTCTGAAATGATCCTGTTCTTCAATACTGGTGATATGGTCTGCAATATACAGAGGAATCTACCATTTTTAAAATCTTCATCTAACTGTAGTTCTTCCTTAAACTGTGATATAACTGGAGGAGGTTGCACCTTGCTGACCAACAGCGGTGAGGATAGGTCCATAGGAGGATCCATCTCCTGCCAGGGAGTCTGTGTCTCTTTGCTTGCCTTCCGCAG